TCTCTCTCTCTCTCTCTCTCTCTCTCTCTCTCTCTCTCTCTCTCTCTCTGCGTCGTTATCGAACGAAAAAAAAAAAAGAAGAAGAAAAGGCACGCGAACGATTCGAAAATAAATTTTTCACCCACCTCGTGTTTTCCTCGTGCAACGCAAAAGAAACCACGAAATAGCGAGAATTTTCCACTCGTCCGATTATTTTATGGAATAACTTCGTTTTTTGATTGGCAGATTTCAAATTATTCGTGGCCAAATATCGGGAAACTGTCGGGGCACGGTCGGGAGAGAGCGTTTTCTCCTGTCAAAAGGCAAAGCGCGCTCGACGATCCGCTTCGCTACACGCGACGCTGCGCGGTCAAAGCGCCGAGCTGAACTGAAGCTATAACCGCTCGAGATCACCGCTATAACGCGTGGCGAACGTGGACGGAAGACCTGATGACGAGACGTGGTTGAATCTCGAAGTTTTTGTCGATTACCGATAATTGGTTGTAACGTGAAAAGGTGGAAGGATAGCGCGAAAGTTATAGTAATAAACGACGTGTTGATAAACAAGAAGAAGAAGAAGAAGAAGAAGAAAAAAAAAGAAAAAGAAGAAGAAAGTAAGAGTTTTCTTAAATTACGAAAAAAGTTATTATCTCATTGACTTGTAATTTAATTAAAACAATGGAAAATTTAATTAATAAAAATGGCAAAAATATTGTGAACGTAATAAAGTATATTCCACGATAGTCATCATTTTAATTAAAACTTCGAATCTAATCCCAATAAAATCCTGATGCAGACTATTGAGCATGATGTCAGAATCCCTCTCCATTACGTAGCCTAGAAATCGATCGATACTTTCCATTTTCCATAAGCTTTTCCTCGTTTCATTCAACTGGGGATGATGTTGTTCTTTCGGCTTCGGATTACAACCACCATGGGGTGGATGGTTTACGAGAGAGGGTATTCCTTAAAGGCGCCAGCATTTATGGATTTATTGCTGGTGTTAGGTTTCGTTGCTTTTATCGTTTCGAAGAATAAGAATAAACATTTGTGCTACACATATCCCAATGTATTAAAATAAAATAATTTTTTCGAAGGAGTAGGAATAAATTATTTAAAAAATTCGACGTTCAATTGATCGATAGATTGTGACAATTCATTTTAACCTCGCGGATTAAAGTTGTCAAAGGGAGAATTTTATGAAGGAAAATCATGGTAGATAGGAAAAGCAAATACGCTGTTTCGGCTAGAGATAAAATATCATCGATAGGAGGTAATATTCTTTCGAATATTATTTTCTTAATGAAAACGAGTGATACGAGATACGATTTAATGTAATTTAGGTGATACAATGAAGAATTTGAACGAAAATTTTACTTCTGAATTTTTGAAGTATGCAGATGAATATAACGTTTATCCCTTGCCAAGAGTTGTAGTGAGTTTTCTTAATCAATTTTCTAAAGGAAATTATATTTTTTTAAACAAAAAAATTTCGTTCAAATTTCAGAAAAACATGGATTATCGTATATCCAGCATATCAACAATTTCGGAGAAGTAATCATTTCTAAATGATTCGAAATTTATCAATAATTTTGATTGAGAATTTTTATTTTAAGAATCGAAGATGATGAATCTCCTATATTTCATTTAACGTATACGAACAAAAAATTCGTATCTCCGATAAAAATTGAAAGCAAAGATAAGTATCTTATAAAAATTTCTTATTAATAATATAATGATAATATCATCAGTATCATTTGATCTAATTTTTTCTTTTTGCAGTACGGCGCGAGATATCGATCTGTATATTAGATGCACTGAATTCTACGATGCAAAAGTATAATACCATCACAGTATTAAAGTAAATCAAATGATCAACTTCTTTTTCATTGCTTAAAAAAAAAAAATAAACATTTTTATCGTGATCTAATATCCTCCAAGATTACCAAACTGTAAAATAAACGCATTCGGCATCATGCAAATTGCGGAAATGATAATGAATATAAAATGCATCAAGGATTTAAATTTAGATATGAATCCGAATACGCAAGAAAATTATCATTTGCTCTGCACACCTGGAGGAAGGTAGGTCAGTAATAAAGTTACGCGTAAGATCGTTTTAATAAATAATTTAATAGATAAAATATTTAGTTTGAAGTATCTGTCTTTGAGACTTTGTGAAATAACTGATAATGGAATAAAAAAAATTGCAAAAGAATTAGAATACCATGATCCTCCGGATAATCCTAAATTAACTATTTTAAATTTGGCACATAATCATATAACGAGAGATGGAGCAGGTCATATAGGAAATATGCTTCGAACAAACAGGTAAATTCATCAACATTATATATTTTATATACATTATATATTTTATATATTTTATATATATTTGTACATATATTTATAGTTATTTCACATTCCCACATTTCATCCCAGCACTCCTCTTTTTCACAATCTTTAACGATAGTTCTTTACAAAAATTCCATGATAAAAAATATATTAGAAAAAAAATAAATTTATATATAAAGTATATATCTTTATGTATAAAATATATTGAAAAATTTCATATATTAAAAATATAGATATATTTTTTTATATATATAAAAAATAAACTTCTATAGAGTATCACATATAAAACATATATAATAAATATTAGAAAAAGAATAGAAATAGAATAAAAATTAACCATCAATACTATTTCTTGAATATCAAAAATATTTCTCTAAAAGAAATGACATTAATATTCAATTTTTACTTTATCTTATTTGTTTTTAATCAAGATATGGTAATAACAGTTAATTATTAAATTATCTTATATTGTTTTTAGCAATGAAGAGATGACAGTAAAAGTCAATTCTTGCTCTATCTTATCTTGTAGTGCCAGTCAAGAGATGGCAATAACAGTCGATTCTTATTTACCTTTCTTTCTACAAAGTTTCTTTTTACAAATCAAGAAATAGCAATTACAATCAATTTTTATTCTACCTTATCCTGCTTTTAACAATCATTTCTCGAGTCATTTCTGTTCAATTCACATTCTTTTAATAAAATTTATTTAAATTTTCCATTTTTTAACAGAAAACTATAATTAAAAAAGAAAACAATACATATCTTATACTTACTTTTTACATACTTATATTATGAAGTTCTAATATTTCCAGAAATCATTTTTTAATAATTTATTTAAATCTAAAGGACTAGACAGAATATAGGAAGAAATAGGAAGGAAAAAATTTTTTAAATAAAAAACCCATTCATTTATTGAAACATAATATTTATTAAACATAATTTACAATTAATATTACACATTTTCTAATTATTAATTGATTAAGTTATATCTTGATATAATTTATCATAATATGTTTAATATGCGTTTAGAAATTCTAAGATGTCCTATTTTAAAAAATTTTGATGTCATTTCCAAGAATTGACAAAATTCCTGGAAAAATTTTTCGATCGATCTCCTATCATATCATGTTCTCCGAATACAAAATCGAATTTTTGGACAAAAATTTTTCTTCCATCAAGGAATTTCGATATTAATCTTTTTCGGTCAATATCTCGTTTATTCTTCATAATATTAAAAAATGTTTGAAACAAAAGTTGTATGGTTTTGAAAGGGCTATCTTCTGGTATCTTCAATTTTTTTATAAATGAAT